TTCTTTTTTAAATACTCCTTTGTGGGACACCTGGGTGGCTCAGTCAGTTAAGTGTCTGCCTTCAGCTCAGGTCATGATCCCAGGGTCCTGGGATCGAGCCCCGCATCAGGCTCCCTGCTCAGCGGGGAGTCTGCTTCTCCCTCTCCCGCTCCCCGCCCTGCCTGTGCGCTCGCTCTCTCTCTGACAAATAAATAATTAAAATCTTTAAATAAATTCTCCTTTGTAAATGCCTCAATTTAGTAATTTCTTTTATGGCTTGATGGTAAAGTGTAAAATTTACTATTTCATACCTCTTGTTTCCTGCAAGTCTTAATAGGGTAGAATGCATAGTTCTGAACAGCACTGATGGAAAACTAAGTATTGTTGAGTCCATCCCATCCTAAAATAAACAAAGAATGAACGGTTTTCTTAGGGATAAACAGCCTCATGATCACCACTGTTATTGGGGACTTTCACAGTTCTTTGAGGCAGGTTTAAATTCTATGTAATTATTATTTTTTTTAAAAGTTTAGTTTGTTTTTATAGAAAAAGTGATTGGTTGTTATGGAAAACAGAAAAGTAGAAATAAAAGGGGAAATTCCCTTAACGACAACCATGGTTATTTGGTATTATTTCCTTGTGTACTTTTCATTTGTTTGTTTTTAACTTACAAATATTCTTTGCTTAAAACATTAGAAATCATTTTTCATTGATGAAATGGTTTTTGAATACCTGAGCTACATGAAATGTTATTAAAAGAGAAAAGATCAGCTCCAAGTTTTTGGACAGCTTTTATATGTGTCATCCAAATTATTCCCCAAATATCTTTCTAAATGTTAAAGATACAGTTTGGAGTGGGGTTGGTTTTTTTTTTTTTTTCTTTTTTTGGATCACTCTAAAAAACAGATATAATTCATATACCATAAAATTTCCCCTTTTAAAATATACAGCTTCGTGGTTTTTAGTATATTCACAAGGTTTAGTATATTCACTCTCATCACTATCTGATTCCAGAGCTCTGAAAAGAAACCCCATGCCCACTTTAACAGTCATACCCCATTCCTTCCCTTCCCTCAACCCTGGCAGCCACTGTCTATTTTCTGTCTCTGGATTTGCCTATCTTGGACATTTCACAGACATAGAATCTTACAATATGTGACCTGTGGCGTCTGGCTTCCTGCACTTAAGATCATGTTTTCTAGATTCATCCATGTTGTGGCATGTATCAGTACTTCATTCCTTTTTATGGCTGAACAATATTATATGGACATACATTTTGCTTCTTCCTTCATCAGTTGATGGATATTTGGGTGGTTTCTACCTTTTTTTTTTTTTTTGAAGATTTTATTTATTTGAGAGAGAAAGAATGAGACAGAGAGCATGAGACGGGGGAGGGTCAGAGGGAGAAGCAGACTCCCCACTGAGCAGGGCGCCCGATGCAGGACTCGATCCTGGGACTCGATCCCAGGACTGCAGGATCATGACCTGAGCTGAAGGCAGTCGCTTAACCAACTGAGCCACCCAGGTGCCCCTGGTTTCTACCTTTTAGCTATTATGAATACTGCTGCTATGAACATTTGGGTACAAGTTTTTGTGTGAACATATCTTTTCAGTTCTCTCAGGTACATACCTGGGAGTGGAATTACTGGGTCATGTAGCAACTCTGTTTGTTTTTCTTTTTTAAAATAATTTATGGAAGTGAAATTCAGATAACATAAGATTAACTATTTTAAAGTAAACAATTCAGTGGCATTCAGTAGATTCATAATGTTGTATAACCACACCTCTATCCAGTTTTAAAATATTTCAGTCATGCCAAAGTAAAGCCCCTCCCCCATTCAAGTCTCCCCATCCCCCAGCCCTGGCAACCACCAAATCTGTGTTCTATCTCTATGGATTTCTCTATTTTGGATATTTTATATAAATAGACCCATAGAATATATGTCTGGCCTCTTTCATTTAGTGTATTTTGGAGGTTCATCTTTGTTGTAGCATGTATCAGTACTTTATTCCTTTTTGTGGGTAAGTCATAGTCTGATTAACTTCTTGAGAAACTGCCAAACTGTTTTCTAAAGTGCTGCACTATTTTACATCCCCACCAGCAATGTATGAAGATTCCAGTTTTTCTACATCTCCACCAGCCCGTTTTACCGTCCATCTTTTTTGTTTTTTTAATGGCCATCCTGGTGTGAGTGTAAAGTGGTATTTCATTTGTTTTTGATTTGCATTTCCTTGATGGCTAATGATGTTTAGCCTCTTGTCATGTGCTTATTGACCATTTGTATGTTTTCTTTGGAGAAATGTCTGTTCAGATTCTTTGCCAGTTTTTAAATTGGTTTATTTGTCCTTTTATTATTGAGTTATAAGAGGTCTTAAATATTCTGGATGGTACACCCCTATCATATATTATTCACAGGTATTTTCTCCCATTCTGTGAGTTGACTTTTACTTTCTTGATAATATTCTTTGAAACACAAACATTTTTAATTTTGATGAAGTCCGATTTATCTATTTTTCCTTTGATTGCTTGTGCTTTAAATATCATATCTTAGAAACCATTGTCTAACCCAGTGGTCACAAATATTTATCCCTATGTTTTCTTCTAAGAATTTTATAGTTTCAGCTCTTAAATTTAGGTTTTTTATCCATTTTGAATAAGTTTTTATATTGGTGTGAAGTTTTATTTTTCTCGTGTTATAAGGAGACCAGAGGCAGCAGTCTGTGTGATGGTTACCCTGTTAGCAGGGTTCCAGGTTTATGTAGACTTCTGCCATTCTTGTGTGTGGCCTTCTTCATGCTCATAAGATGGTTGCTGAACCTCCAGTCATTATATCCCATTCCAGGCAGAAAGAGTAGGGTGAGAGAGGTGCAAAAGGCACGTGCCAAATGCTCTATCTTTTTTAAAATCACATATCCATAGTTTCCCTGGAAAACCCCACTGAAAGACTGTCTACCAGTTATTGGCTAGAACTATATGTCATTTGGCCTCCCTTAGTTCCAGGAGAGCCTGAGAGATCAAGTTTGTATAGTATTTTATATTTCTGCCTAGAGCAAAATCTTGTTTATGTTAATTAGAAAGAAAGGGAGAATATTAAGAAAGTGGAGAAATTTGGTCTTAAAAAGAACTACCAAAAAAAAAAAAAATCAGAGCCGATAAAATTTAAGGTAGCATGGGGGTGCCTGGCTGGCTCAATCAGAAGAGCATGCGACTCTTGATCTTGGGGTTGAGTGCAAGGCCCACATTGGGTGTAGAGATTACTAAAAAACTTTTTTTTTTTAATTCGGGTACCACGGAAGAGATTGGTGATCAATATTTTCATCTCTAATCACATTTTAAAAAATGTATTTATTCATTTATTCCATCTTAATTGAGTAATTACCATGTGCTGCCATATTCTGAGCACTTTATATCTTATATCCTACTTACTTTTATGGGCCATCTACAGGATCCTTTCATTTCCCTCTACTTCTGTCTCATTCTGTGAAAAATCACCAGTTTAGGCTTCCAGTCCATAGCCTGAATTTATATAAATAGTACAAGTCTTTAGGTCAAAAGTTATCTAAGCAAATCTACCTCTAATTTTTTCCACCCTCATCGCTTAACTTTTTTAGGAAGTAAACAAAGGCAGGGGAATTCAGTGTTTTAAGAGAATCATAACACATGACTTATATTTACCTTTAGATATTATTTTCCTCAGGCCCCCCCCCATATTTCAATTAGGAGATATTGGAATAGTCTTGTTGGTAGAAATGTTTAGGTTAAGTAAGTGATTTTTCTAGCCTTTTAAGATTTTCAAGGGGGAATTCATAGATTTCATAGAATGTATATTCTCACACACACACACACACACACACACACACACACACACACACACGTTTGGGGACTAGACCTAATGACTCCTAGCATCTGTCCTAAGTCTACTGTTTTAAATTAGTCTAGTGGAAGGTAGAGAAGGGCATATAGTAATTAAATTTATAGGAATTAGACACTTAATTGGGGGTGGTTGGGTGGCTCAGCTGGTTAAGCATCTGCTTTCAGCTCAGGTCATGATCCCAGGGTGCTGGGATCGAGCCCCGCATCGGGCTCCTTGCTCAGTGCGGAGCCTGCTTCTCCCTCTCCCGCTGCCTGCTCCTCCCCCTGCTTGTGTGCTCTCTCTCTTACTTAGTTATTTGAGAGAGAGAGAGCATGAGAGCAGGGTGGGGCAGAAGGCAGACGCTTAACCGACTGAGCCACACAGGTGCCCATAAATAAATAAAATCTTAAAGAAAAGAAAAGCAATTAGATACTTAACATGTATGTTAAAACCTGATATATTTTTACTTAATATTTTATTTATTTATTTATTTAAAGATTTTATTTATTTATTTGACAGACAGCGAGAGAGGGAACACAAGCAGGGGGAGAAGGAGAAGCAGGCTCCCCACTGAGCAGGGAGCCTGATGCGGGGCTCGATCCCAGGACCCTGGGACCCCGGGACCATGACCCGAGTGGAAGGCGGACGCTTAACTGACTGAGCCACCCAGGCGTGTCATTTTAATATTTTAAAAGCAGTTTTTTTTTTTTAAGATTTCATTTATTTATTTTTCAGAGAGAGAGAGAGCACGAGCAGGGGGAGTGGCAGGCAGAGGGAGAAGCAGGCGACCTGCTGAGCAAGGAGCTCAATGTGGGACTCTATCCCAGGACCCTGGGACCATGACCCAAGCCAAAGGCAGACACCCAACTGACTGAGCCACCCCAGGTGTCCCTAGAATCAGTTTTGAGTTGTAATTTCATCCGAACAAATTTAACTTACTGAAATTTAAGTGCTGAGTTGAAATATTTGTTCTGACACTTGTATTAATTATGAGGTAACTATAGTATCATGCAGTCTGGATCTCATAAATTACATTGAAAAGGCATTATGGACAAGAACAAAGTAATTTAAGTGAAGAAGTACTAAAGACCATGCAGAGTTGATTAAAATTTTCAATATGTATAATTGGAATGAAATTTTCAGTTTTCTCTCTTTTTTCATTTTCAGATCCAGTTATGGGACACAGCAGGACAAGAACGATTTAGAAAGAGCATGGTACAGCATTATTACAGAAATGTCCATGCCGTTGTCTTCGTGTATGATATGACTAATATGGCTAGTTTTCATAGCCTGCCATCTTGGATAGAAGAATGCAAACAACATTTGCTAGCCAGTGACATACCACGGATTCTAGTTGGAAATAAATGTGACTTGAGAAGTGCCATTCAGGTACCTACAGACTTGGCACAAAAATTTGCTGACACACACAGTATGCCTTTGTTTGAAACCTCTGCGAAAAACCCCAATGATAATGACCACGTGGAAGCTATATTTATGACCTTGGCTCATAAACTTAAGAGCCACAAACCATTAATGCTTAGTCAACCCCCTGATAACGGAATTATTCTGAAGCCTGAACCAAAGCCTGCAATGACATGCTGGTGCTAAGTAACAGTCTTTATTATACTATCTAATTTTGACTAAAGAAATGCTTTTGAAGTATGACAGTGATAAGTCATAAGATTTAATCTCAAATATAATGGATCAGCCTGATATTTTACTATTATTGTCGTGCTAATTTTTGTATTTTGTATCTACTTAATTACATTGTCATTGTGACAACATAGGGCAAAAGTTGGTTTTCACGTGTGGTTGAAAATGAAGTAAAGGTAGGATGAATTAGACCATCTTCCCATTGAGAGCCCAGTGAAGGAGGCTTCAAATGAGAGCACGATGGTATTTTAGGAGTAAATGACTGTTCAATCCTGTGTTCTGGGATTGAAAAAAAAAATTAAGGGTTTAGGACATACTTACTAGGTATGTTCTTTGGGAAGTGTTCTCAATAGGACAAAACTGGTAGTTGCCTCTCCCTGGAGTTCTGTCTTTGTGTTATTGATGTATTTAATTGCATTATTATTGGTACATTTGAGAGCCAAGACTGTATTTAGTTCCAGTGTGGGGAGAAGGCATAGAATATTTTCTGGTTCTCAGTGCATAAAGAATGACTTCCAGTGATTCCAGATGCTTGATATTTCTAATCAATATATCAGTCAGATCTACAGAAGTCATTGTTATTTTTAGAAAAATAATTTGAATTGTTTTCTTACTAAATTCTATTAGAATATGCAAAAGCAAGTCTGACTTTAATGTAAATGAAGTGATATAATTAGGTGCTTTATATTTTATTTTGATATCTTTAGTGAAAAACCAATTGAAAGCATTGGAGGAGTTGTAACTTGGGGGGAAATAGGTAAATGTGGTTCCTGGCTACCACAGGAGACCTGTTCTCTTAGCTTTTGGTAATTTCAAGCTGTGTATCTGGCGTACTATCTCTTGCTCTCCCCCACAGTCAGTCAATTTAATGACTAAAGGTTGAATTAACAAATCAACTTCTATTTGGATTGTAGCTCTGAAGGCATACCTCTAATTCCTAGGAGTCTACATATATTTCTGTAATAGTATTGTGTTACAGTGTTTCAGTTTTTAAAATCTTTAAATTTTATGGTCACAACAAGCTATTCCTCCTCAGTAGGAAAAATAAAGTAGATATTGAGAAATACCTTGTCTCTCTCCCTCAGTGGTGTAAAGAATAGTTCAAGAAGTTTCTTACCCTAAGTATGTTTATTTTAAATTTAAGACTTTGCACAAAGAAAATAGTAAGTTTGCATACAAAGCTATTACATGAATGGAACGTAAGCCATGAACTTTAACTGAAGGGTGCACATTCACTAGTTCTGATAGATTGCTGTCCTTGATATTTTAGAGGTAATTAAGCCAAAAGATGATTATACTTATAATATTTTCAGAATGTGGGAAATCAAATATGTAATCTAGTTTAGGAGTTTAATCATCATGGTGATCCTAATTGGATAATTTAATTATAAAAACAAGGTAATGCTATGAAATGAACTGAAAGAAGTAATTATAGGAAATAATTATTCAGTTTTAAATATTAGAGCTTAAGGAAAAACAAGTTGGCTTTATCTGTGTTTAGGGAGATTAATCCAATTTTCCTATCATGCTAGAATTAAAAATGGTTAGAATTTAAATTGTTGATTTGTAACTATTTTTGTAGTAAAACAATGACAAGTGTGCTAATTGTGGTGGGTGTAACAGTTTTTTAAAGAAGGGAATCTGTTTGTTGCTTTTAAAACATTTTCTAAAGTGTGGGAAGAAAGTTTACAAAACTTCCAAGCACATTTATGTTTTTAAGTGCTGTTAAAATGGTTAAAAAAATAATTTAACTGTTTCTTTTTATAAGAACATAATGTAGGTATCCTTTACAGTTCTGTGAAAGAACTTATTTTTTCACTTTAATATTTATTAATTTTAAAATATTTGTATCTCATTTGTAATGATTTACTGTTTTAATTTTTTTCTACATATGTTTTTATTTTTTAAAGAGCATAGTTATCAGTTGAATGGGGATAAAAGTTTTAGATATTTTCCAGAATATTTATAAAACACTTCCTTGTTGAGAAATCACTTCCAGAATGGCGGTTATCAAACAAATAATTATAAATTTTTAAAGCACAAGTCACAACATTTTGTAACTCCTGTGTGAATTTATTTTAATTGTGATCCTTAATTGAAAACATCAGGTATCTTTTGGGAAAGTCTTAATTTGAGATCAACCTAAGGAAGCTAATCCAGAATCTAATGTAGTTAGCTATTAGTGACAATGCTTTATTGACGTATATTGCTAATATGTTTCCTCATGGAATCTAAAGTTAAATAATTTCATTGTGGAATAGTGTCATTGTAACATTTCTTTATGAAGTTCAATAAACCAGCTTTGCCATAAAGAAATTGTGTTTCATTCCCTTTGGTTATTAGGATGAATACAGGGTAAAACAAAAAAATCTTTTTTCCCCTCTGCCTTCCGGGCATTGTACAATACGTTAGAAACAAACAAACGAATCTGTTTGGAAATACATTTGGGGTTAAAGAACTTTTTGGGAAAAAACCTAAATATTAAAATTAGATGATAAGGGTAGATTTTTCATTTGTGTGGCTGAGTAATCAGCTTGTTTAAGAGTACTTCAGGGCAAACAAATACTGTAAGAGTGGTTGACATCTCCAGATTTAGAGGTAATACAATTTAACAAAATGAATAATTATAAAATGTATGACAAAAAAGAGAAGGAATTACGTGGCAGGTCTAAGATCGCAATTTCTACCTTCACGTTACTGATTTGGGCCCTTTAGGAGAGTGTGGATTGGAGTTTGGGCCCCAGAAGTTGATACTGCTTTGCCCCATTCATTTATTTCACATGTAAGTTACTCTTGTCAAACACAAAATTACATTATTCATGAAAGACTGCTTTCTTAATCAGATATTAAGATAATAAGTTGGTTAAGTCTTTTTTTATTTTATTGTTAATCACCATACATTACATCATTAGTTTTTTTCATTATTTTATTTATTTTTATTATGTTAATCACCATACATCATTACATCATTAGTTTTTGATGTAGTGTTCCATGATTCATTGTTTGCATATAACACCCAGTGCTCCATGCAGTACGTGCCCTCTTTAATATCCATCACCAGGCTAACCCATCCCCCCACCTCCCTCTCCTCTAGAACCCTCAGAGTGTTTCTCAGAGTCCATAGTCTCTCATGGTTCATCTCCCCCTCCAATTCCCCCCTTTCATTCTTCCCCTCCTGCTATCTTCTTTTTTTTTTTTTTTAACATATAATGTATTATTTGTTTCAGAGGTACAGGTCTGTGATTCAACAGTCTTACACAATTCACAGCGTTCACCATAGCACATACCCTCCCCAATGTCCATCACCCAGCCACCCCATCCCTCCCACCCCCCACCACTCCAGCAACCCTCAGTTTGTTTCCTGAGATTAAGAATTCCCCATATCAGTGAGGTCATATGATACATGTCTTTCTCTGATTGACTTATTTCGCTCAGCATAATACCCTCCAGTTCCATCCACGTCGTTGCAAATGGCAAGATATCATTCCTTTTGATGGCTTCATAATATTCCATTGTATATATACACCACATCTTCTTTATCCATTCATCTGTCGATGGACATCTTGGCTCTTTCCATAGTTTGGCTATTGTGGACATTGCTGCTATAAACATTGGGGTGCACGTATCCCTTCGGATCCCTACATTCGTATCTTTGGGGTAAATACCCAGTAGTGCAATTGCTGGATTGTATGGTAGCTCTATTTTCAACTTTTTGAGGAACCTCCATACTGTTTGCCAGAGTGGCTGCACCAGCTTGCATTCCCAACATCATTAGTTTTTGATGTAGTGTTCCATGACTCATTGTTTGCTTATAACACCCAGTGCTCCATTCAATACATGCCCTCTTTAATACCCATCACCAGACTAACCCATCCCCCCACCCCCCTCCCCTCTAGAACCCTCAGTTTGTTTCTCAGAGTCCATAGTCTCTTATGGTTCATTCCCCCCCCCTCCGATTTGGGGGAAATTGGTTAGGTCTTTTGAGGGCAAATTTGCTAGAGCCTGTGTGGCAAGAGTTAATTGACTGGAATAACCTGATTTATCAAACATTTGTCTAGTGCCCACAATGTGTTTTCCAGTTGTGTTAGGCAGTGAGCTACATAAACGAATAAGACGATGTCCTTGAAGAACTTACAAAATAATATATAAATAAGTGGGAATTCTGCAATATAATAATGGTAAATGTAATCAAGGAGATAAATACTTAGGGCAATGAGTACAGAGCATGGAGCCATGCTTTGATGCAGGCGAGTGAGTACAGGGGAATGAAGAGCTAGCTAGTCAGAACAATGGGAAGTGAGGCTATCAAGAGAGGCTGTGGTTGAGCCGCCACGTTGCCATATACGAGGGAGGATTAGGACTGACTTGGGTGCAGGAATCAAACTCTTCTTTGAACCAGCCTACTAAGGGGGTATTTATTGAGAGGGTCAGACTCATCCTATGGGACTCCATGGACAAGGATGCAGCTGGGCCCCCAAGAAGAGCTGGGACTGGGCACTCAGTTTCCTAACTCTGGGCTTAAGCTTCTCTGCACATCTTCATTCTTTCTCTTTTATAACTGGATTTCTCTCCCCTTTTCTGGTTCAGGTGGCAGAAAATGTGACCACTGACTACTTCTGAACTTCTGTGTGCGGCAGACATTCAAAGAGAAATGAACAGATTGTCAGTCCCGAGTCAAAATTTCTGGCGTGGACTGTTTTTGGCCTGGCTAGAATCAGATGCCCAGCCTAGGACCAAAAAGAAAAAAGAAAAAAAAAAAATAGGCAATTTCCACATTTGGGGGGAAAGGAATTTTGAAGAAGGGAAGGAAAAAAAGAATATCCACATGAAAACATTTGAGCTTTGGGTAACTAATGGAAGTGTTAAAGCAAGGTGGTGATTGGGACCATCAGATTTATGCTAGAAATAGCAGTGGCAATGAGAAGGGTAGGTAGGAATGGAACCGTGGTGGCCAG